GTCACGTACGTGTTTCAGTCAGCAGATTGCAGCTTTTAGCCCTGACAACCACTACAGATGTGTTTGTAAAAATAAATAAATAATTGAAAATAGCTAACTAAGGGAAGGTGTGCTCGTCATTTCTGTTGGCGACCTTTGATTGCGGCCTCATTGTCCAACGAGAGTAAGTGCCAAAAGTGTTTGGTGCTCGCCACGTACAGAACAAATGCAGTGTTGTTTATTCATCTATCTCTCTCTGATCAATGCCAATGCTTTATGCTTCTTGCATTATGCCTCGTTAGCCAATTTTCCGCATTTTCACTGAGCCTCAGTTTGTATTATCGACAAGGACATGTACACCTAAAAACTATGCGCCGAGCTGTCTGATAACATTAGTTTTTTATGGAGAGATGACCCCTCTACCCCTGGCTTCTTGAGTAATACCCCCACCCACACAAAGTTGACGAACAAAGTTGACGCTTGCACGCGTACTGGCAAACCGCCTACGATGAATGGGAACACGGTGCCATCAAGTAGTTGGTGCTGCTACAGAAACGCTGTGCGCACGCCTGTGTCGACGCTGCCGCAAGACTCGTCGCTCCGTTTGCAACGATCGCCGAAAGCATCGAAGTCAGCGCAGATATGCAGTGAAAAATTTATGATGACGGTTTGAAGAGTTCATGTGCGGACTATATAACAGTAATCGTAACTCAATAAGTATTAGTTGCAGCTCAAAGAGCCGGTTTCGGAGCACTTGAGTGCGTACGTCGCGGACGTCACGCGATCGCTCAGCTTGCACTCACTCTGGCATATCTTAGGCTACTCGTAGTGAATGCCACGGATACTGATTATGATCGCGATGCCAAATCAGAAGCACGAATATCTGTAGCAGCTTCTCGATAGACGTGCAAACGCATGTCTTTGTATTATCACTCCATCAACACGCCAAGCGATTCCGTTCATATGAGGAGCGAGAGGCCGCGCTATTATTAGAAGAGGACGACGCGAGTGACAGCGTATTCCTTCTAGGCCAAATACACTTCGAAATCTACTCTATGTTATGCATGTAAAGATGCCGCCTCAAGCCAGCGTTTTTTTTTTGCTCACTTTTTCGCGAAGCATGCATGTGGAGCGGTGAAGCGTTCACAGCATGAACACTGTCGTATTACAGGCGCGCGCAAGCAAATTGTTTGCGAGTAGTAAATTTCGGAAGCGAATTCAATATGAATCTAACAGCGGTATAACCAAATCGAACGCTTTAACCAACCTAATACTCTTCTCATCGTTTTTAAATAGCAAGAAAATAGAAAATCTCTTTAAGAACAACCCTCAGAATACAGCAGTTTTTTTTTCAAATAAGTATTAACGAACCGTCACCAAATAGTACTACGATTATGAAAACTGGGATAATCTTGTATACAGCAGCGACCGGAGCCTTCGAAATACTTTTCAACTGTATGTCAAAATACCTCAGTAACTCCATTATTCAAGTTGAAACTCCGTTGCCAGCTTTTAAGTGATATTTCAGCATAAAATCTAAACAATTTGAACCGAACACCATGCATTCAGCTAAAGATTTATTGGAACAGGCAAAATTATCACAACATATACCCTGGCACAGAGAGCATGTAAAAATCAAGTGTTGAAAGCTGTATCTGTAAGAACAATTTACGTGAACAAAATACTTACTGGCATGTGTTTTTATTCGTGAAGCTAAATGCAGTCATAGTCCCTAACTTCCATGATGAAAATATGAAAGGATTGATGCGATCCAGTTCCACCACAGTAAAAACAGAGTGAAAGTGCAGTTTGCAGCAAAATTCTTTATCTGATAATGGTTATAAAATGAATAGTGCTGCCAATACCAGGGCTGCAGTCATTGTGGTTATTCAGGGATTACAAAAAGAAAATAAACCTTCAGCTGAAGCCATGCTTTGCTGCTTATCCCATTTGGGCCAATTATTTTTTATATCTTGGGTATTTCATGGATGTACAATTAAAATTGACTAGTGAATGCTAGTTGGTCTGTTATTTAAATATTTGCACACCCCTAGTAGCGCTGTCGCAACCAATGACCCACCATTTTTTTGTGTGAATGTGATTGGGCATCTGTAAACATCACGAGTGCTTTTTGTTTTTTGTGCTGTGTCCCATCTCTCATTGAACACACCCTTGCACATGCCTCAAGGTACGTAAGTGAAAAAAAAAACGCACCTGGCTACAAGTGATGCCGATTCGTGACATGCAATGCAAGTAAAAACATAAGTGCATTTGGTCAAAGTTGCTTTTAATCTTGCCGTCCATTAGCAAGAAGAATCAGTTTCCATTTTTTGGCACAAGTTGAGTCAAATGCTTACATACTCTGGTTGATTTGTTGTAAAACAATATTAAAAACAAATGTAAACTCTCATATCAACGTTTCACTGTTGTCCTGAAATAAAAAAAAGAAAATGCCATATGTTACTTGTGTTTGCCAGAGAATTCTGAATATGACATTATTAATTAAGGCTGTCATAAGATGTGCTGAAAATTAAAAAAATTACTTGCCACTGCGAACTGCTAGGGGAATGTGAAGTTCACGTATATTGTTATTGCAGGTATGTGAATTGCTTTATATATTTCTCATAGCAATAACACATGCAGCACAACACGCCATATTCAGATGTTTTTTTTGGCCTTTCGAGATAAAAATATCTTTTTCCTTGTTATAAATTTAGCTAATATTTGACAAGCCTGACAACTAAGTAAATGCATATTGCCACATGTGTTTTATTTGGATAAAGTCGGGTTTCACCCACAAAGACTCCAAGCAACACTCGGCGCAGCAGTTTTTCAGGAGCTCCGTGATAACTTCAGATCACACTTTAAGTTTGTGGACAGGGCGCGAATAATCTAGTGCGTACGCAGCCACCAGCAATAACCCCAGAATTTTCAGTAGCACTTGTATAAAAGCAGATGCACTGTACTGCTTGTCAAATTATTGATGGCCGATGCACTGTTTACCGCTATCAGGGCAGACTATGTATTGCTTGTAGTTTGGCTTTTGGCAGACGATGTGTTGCTTGTAGTTTGTCTCTCCATACTTCAGGCAAAGTTTCCCTGAAATAAAAAGTTTGGTCTCAACCCCGCCGACTACTGCAGTCTTCAACATTATGACCACATGACAATATTACTTTTTATGTCTCTCCAAGAGGTGCTTACATCTATAAATCCAGAAAGTTGAAATTTCATTTTTTAGAAATGTGCAGATGTAGAACTGCAAAATTATGAAGTCTAATACTAACAGCTACCTTTTTTGTTTTATTGTGAATTAATTTGGTGAATCAGAGTAGTACACAAGTGCCACTTTTGATGGAGATTATGTGACAAAGCCCATTGATCCTTTAAAGCAGCTTGCATTTCAATCTGTCTAGCATGGTGTACGAGAGAAGGTTTCTAAACAAATTTCCAAATGAGGCAATTGATGCAAATGATTGCGACCGCGCGACAACAAACAGGAGAACCAAAGAGAAAGTAGCATGGGAGGGCACGAGTGGTAGAAATAAACACTAAGGTTCTTGGTGTAGGGCTCTGGTCTTGAATACGTGACAGCAATGACATGCTGGTTACAATGGCCTGCTTGCGGTCCCCCATTTTCTCAGAATAGCAATGGGATGTAAAGAGCTCTTATAATTGCACAGCAGAAGTCCTTGGACACTATTATTGTTAAAGCACTGGTGCACAACTAATGGTTTAACAATTCACACAAATAAAACACAGTTCATTATCTTTCATTCGAGTCATAGTGCTCTTTCACCTACCCCGGCTATTACTATGAACAGCCAGAGACATCTTTGTTTCACTAAGTTCCCATTCTTGGGAGTACTCCTAGATGCTCATCTTAAGTACTATCATCACATTCAACTTATAAGGCAGAGAATAGCTTATGGTATCAGAGCATTAATTAAAGAATGACCATGCTTCAACTTTGCTTAAGCTATACTACGCCATTATCCACATTCATATTACCTACTGCATCACGTCATGCGCAAACACCTATCTCATATCCTCCCACTTCAACGTCTACAAAACCAAGCCATTCGCATCGTAACAATCAGTACTCTATTCACCAGTATGCCGCTGCTTCTTCAGCAACATAGTGTACTAACAGTGTGTAATTTATTCAAACATACACTGGGAATTCTTGTATTTATGTGTTTTAACAGTTTCACAACAGCCCATGTCCTGCAAAAATTTCAATTGGTAAACGCTAATCCCACCAGGTTTGCCTCTAACAACAATTTTTTACTACCACATACATGCACTAACTATGGCCAACTCACTATCATATTTGCTACCATATATTTTTAGAATTCAATACCACTATGCACTAAACAATTGTCATTTAATACTTTTAAGAAGATTCAAGATGTCTGGTGTATCATTATTTAAAGTACCTTTTGTTCAATATTCTACCGCCATCTTTTTCATAGCCATGTATAATTACTGAAGATTGTTTTATTGCCATTTCAGCAGAAATTTACATTACAAGTTTGGCTTGTCTTTATATCATAATAACTTGCCACTTTCAGTTGCCAGTTTTCTATAGTTATCAACATGTATATTTTTCACAGGAGCCTTGAGCCTTTAAGCCTTGTGCTATGGGACCTCCTTCTGTATATACTAACCCATATTCGTTTACAAATTTTGCAACACATAAACATTTTTGACCGACTGACCTACATCGCTATAACGCAGCAGACAAATTGACAGGACAGACCGAATGGCTTACCCGATGGAATTTCAATAGTTTAAAATATCACCAGCAAAAAGCATTTCAATTTAAGGATTATGAACGTGCTAGAAATTGAAGTCATTGCGCAGTGGAAAGTACACCCGGCCCTCGAAAAGTTGAGGTGGGTGTTGATTTCACCTCTGATGACAGAAAGTACTGTGGTGTAACTGTGCTTACAGATGACCTAACAGACCAGATTTTGCTTGATTCAGGTTAAGTGAAAGCGAAAACATCCAACACTACAAACTGTATTTGCAATTTTTTTTATTCAAAGTAATTATGAAGTCTCCATGGGAGCAGGTTTCCTCTAGCAATTCATGGACTCATTTTACATTTTCAAAATGTTAGCACAGGTTTTGTTGTACATTTTCTTGTCAAGCATAATGAGAAATTATGTGTACTAAACGCCTTCAGAAAAAGTCCACAAAGGCGGATGCTGTTGTTATTACAGTATTCGTCCACACAGCCGAGCAGCAGTACGCTGATGCATCCCAGCTCCGGTCACTGATCCACATTGCTTCAGGAGCCAGCCTATATGTAGCAGAGGATAAAACATAATGGTTTTAAATTTTGAGTTCAGCAATCTGATTTCTAGTGACATTCAGAGTTCTTTTGTAGGACAGTTACATGTGAAGAGGTCTGCACTTTTAGGTGTGTAAACATTACAGAGCAAGTCACAGAGATGGCATAACATCGAGTGCAAAACCGACAGCTGCAAAAGTGGCTAAATCAAAGACTGAACGCAAGGAATGGAAGATGAGAGAGATTTGCATAGTTAAAAATATGTGACGTGATCTCGTATTCAGTCTACTATACTACTTTACCATTCAAGCTGAATACACATGAGTCACAATAGTGAATAGGAGCGATACTCTAATAGCGAGATGAAACACTGCCAAGTAGTTTCTAACTTTATGTGGCTGGTTGCGCTGCTACACGTTTAACAAAGCGGGAGTGAATTGCACGAGAACAAAGAAAGAACCACCGGCCATCCTAAAGGCACCCAGAAGCTTCCACGAAAGATGGTGGTGCAGTATCTGTATTGGGGTCGCACTAGCTGATGTGTAAAACAGTAAATGCTGTCAAGCTTTGAGAAGAAATTGAAGCTCTAAAACATACAAGCAGAATTGGTCACAGTGTCATCCAAACTAATTAAAAATATTCAATCTTTATCATAACTTCTGTCACTTGGGTGGTCATGATGGCATCCAGTGGACATACACGAAGCTAAGTCAGCAGTTCACATGACCTGGCATAAAAGAAGAAACAACAAGATAATCATATTGCCACGTTCCATTTCCCAAGTTTTCGTTATCGTCCCAAAACACCACACGATTCTCAGCGCAAACCGCGCCTGCAGTTTTCCAGAAGGTTCCGGACTGTAGTAGATCATTTCGATAAGATCACGCCCACTGTGCGAACGGTACAGATTGTTCTGGAACCTACGCCACCACCAGCGATAACGCTAGAACATTCGATGGCAAGAGTATAAATGCCGACGCGCTTCGCCACTTGTCAGTAGTTGTTGATTGAAGGCCGACGCTCTGTTCGCCGCTATCAGTCCGAGACTGCTATCTGTGTGAGACTGCTGCTGTAATTGGACTTTCCTTTTACCGGGCACAGGTTCACCCAAATAAACAGTTAAATCCCAACACGAAGTCTCCTGTCTTCGGCCACGTCACGACCCCGTGACATCTGGTGGAGGTGCTGCTTTGCTCATGTACCGGACGCCCCCGTCAAGCCGTGAACCCAGCCCACGTCGCGGAGAAGATACCGACGCCAACCAGGAGCAGCGAACAAGCCGCCGACAGCAAGGGCTACCACCGGAGTACGGGCTTCTGCAAGACAAGGCGCGGAAGACCAAGGCCATGACCGCGACTGCAGCGACAATGACAACCGCAGCGTCCCAGCCCACGATGGTCATGCATCAACCCAGGGAACCACCAATTTTCCATGGGTCATCGTTCGAAGACCCGGAGTCCTGGCTAGAAACATACGACCATGTGGCCGCCCTCAACCACTGGGACCATGACGAAAAGCTGCGTCGTGTGTACTTCTATTCGGAAGACACCGCAAGGACCTGGCTCGAAAATCGGGAGTCCACGCTCCGAACGTGAGATGTTTTCTGCGGCGCATTCCTGCAAACGTTCGCGAGCGTCGCTCGCAAAGAGAGGGCCGCTGCTTTATTAGAGACCCGGGTTCAGCTACCAAATGAAAATGTCGCCATTTTCACAGAAGAAATGACCCGACTATTCCGTCACGCTGACCCAGACATGCCTGAGGAGAAAAAAGTTCGTTTCCTCATGCGAGGGGTGAAACAGGAGCTCTTTGCGGGACTGATGAGAAACCCACCGAAAACCTTCCAAGAATGTGTAGCCGAAGCGACCACCATCGAAAAAAACCCTGGACATGCGCACCAGACAGTATAATCGTCGCCTGACTGCAGACTGCGCTGCTGCTCAAGCCAGTAACTCCGGAGACCTGCGTGAAACGATCCGAGCGATCGTGCGGGAAGAGCTGCGCAAGCTGTTGCCTTCGGCCCAGCCTCAAGTGGATTCAATTGCCGACATTGTGCGAGAAGAAGTTCGGCAATCGCTTCAAATTCCCCACGCACCGCTGCCCGAGCCGGAAGCTATGAGCTACGCCGCTGCACTGCGCCACAGCGCTCCTCCCCGTCCACGCCAAAACGCCGCCCCATCGCACTTCCGTCGACAGACGCCACCGCCGCCACCACCCCCACCGACGTCATACCGTACGCCAGCAGCCCAGCGCAGTGCACCGAGGAAGACTGACGTCTGGCGCACCCCTGACCATCGCCCGCTCTGCTACCACTGCGGCGAGGCCGGACACACATACCGCCGTTGCCAGTACCGACAGATGGGACTGCGTGGCTTTGCCGTCGATGCACCACGTCCGCAGCCAGGGGAACGGCCACGTGACATCGCCGACTACCTGACAGAAACTCAATGGAGACCACGAAGTCCTTCCCGTTCGCCGTCGCCCAGCCGCCGCATGTCAACGCACCCCCGGCAGTACTTCGGCCCAACGCGGGGCCGGTCTCCTAGCCCGTATCCGGGAAACTAAGGGCAGCAACCGGTGGAGGTGCGGTTGCTGTGCGACGAACTACCGAAGATCCTCCGACGACGACGACGCCGCGACGGAGCTTTCCGAACACAACGCCAACCAGGCAAAGCCCTGACGGCAAAAGCTCACTTACCGAAGGTGGCCTGACGACGCAACATGGAAGCAGTGGAACAAGCCGACGCAGCCGTGACCCTACGCCACGCCCTAACTGTAATGCGAGACGGCGAACTAGTGACCTCGACGTTCTTATCGACGGCCACAGTGTGACTGCTCTCGTTGATACTGGAGCTGACTATTCTGTCATCAGTGGGTCGTTCGCCGCGAAGTAAAGAAAGTTAGGACAGCTTGGAAAGGCCCTGAAATCCGCACAGCTGGAGGTCATCTCGTAACGCCTGCAGGAATCTGCACAGCGAGAGTCACCATTAACGGCCGTATTTATCCTACAGACTTCGTAGTCCTACAGCGTTGCTCGAGAGATGTCATCCTTGGCATGGACTTCTTATGCCTCCATGGTGCTGTCATAAACCTAAAAACAAAGTCGATAACGTTATCCCCAGAAGAAGCACTACCACCGCGCACGCCGTCAGAACACCATGCCTTGAATGTGCTGGAAGAACAAGTCACCATTCCGCCTCGCTCAAGCGTCATTATTTCAGTCGGCGCTCCTAAATCACCTGACTTGGAAGGCGTCGTTGAAGGCAGTCAGCATCTGTTGGTCACCCGAAATATTTGCGTCGCAAGAGGAATTGCAGAGCTGCGGGGAGGCAAAGCAACGGTTATGCTCACGAATTTCAGCAATGAGTACAAACATGTAAACAAAGGAACAACGGTCGCATACATCCAAGAAATTGTCGAAGCCACCAGTGCTTTCGCCCTCGCCGATTCTGTGGAACCTGCTCAGAGGAACCAAGCCCCTCCCATAGCTTTCGACGTCAATCCCAGACTTCCGAACGATAAGCAAGCACAGCTCAAGGCCCTGCTCCTGCAATACGAAGATTGCTTTTCGTCGTCATCGAAAATTCGGCAGACCCCAATCACGAAACATCGTATCATAACCGAAGAAAATACCAGACCACTCCGTCAGAGTCCGTACAGGGTTTCGACGCGAGAACGTGAGGCCATGAAGAAACAAGTTGATGAAATGCTGCGGGATGACATTATCCAGCCGTCCAAGAGTCCATGGGCGTCCCCCGTGGTGTTAGTGAAGAAAAAGGATGGGACCCTACGTTTCTGCGTCGATTATCGCCGCCTGAACAAAATCACAAGAAAGGACGTGTATCCTCTCCCACGAATAGACGACGCACTTGATCGGCTCCATAACGCCAAGTACTTTTCCTCAATGGACCTCAAGACTGGCTATTGGCAAATCGAAGTCGACGAAAGAGACCGAGAGAAGACGGCGTTTATAACACCGGACGGCCTCTTCGAGTTTAGGGTGATGCCCTTCGGCCTTTGCTCAGCGCCTGCAACATTTCAACGCGTTATGGATACAGTACTGGCAGGATTGAAGTGGTAGACTTGCCTTGTGTACTTGGATGACGTCGTCGTGTTTTCCTCGAGTTTCGACGAGCATCTTCGGCGCCTTGAAGCTGTACTTCAAGCCATCAAGACGTCCGGACTCACACTGAAGCCAGGAAAGTGCAGATTTGCGTATGAGGAGCTCTTGTTTCTGGGGCACGTTATCACCAAGTCTGGAGTTCGTCCCGATCCGCGGAAAACAGCCGCCATCGCCAACTTCCCGCCGCCCACTGACAAGAAGGCCGTGCGCCAATTTCTGGGCCTGTGCGCCTATTATAGGCGGTTCGTGAAAAACTTCGCCCGCATCGCCGATCCTCTCACTAACCTTACCAAGGCCGACGTGGAATTCAAGTGGGAAACGCCGCAGGAACACGCTTTCCAGGAGCTTAAACATCGCCTTCAGACGCCTCTGTTACTTGCTCATTTCGACGAATTCGCCGAGACAGAAATACATACTGACGCAAGCAGCGTAGGTCTTGGCGCCGTTCTTGTGCAGAGGGCTGACGGACTTGAAAGGGTTATTGATTACGCCAGCCAATCGCTATCCAAAGCAGAAGCAAATTATTCCACAACAGAAAAGGAGTTCCTCGCCATCATCTGGGCTACGTCGAAATTTCGCCCCTACCTCTATGGCAGGCCCTTTAAAGTTGTGAGCGACCCCCACGCCTTGTGTTGGCTAGCCACCTTGAAGGACCCTTCAGGTCGCCTCGCACGATGGAGCCTGAGACTTCAAGAATATGACATTACTGTCATTTACAAGTCCGGCAAAAAACACTCCGACGCCGACTGTCTCTCTCGTGCGCCTGTCGACCAACCGCTACCTTACGACCCGGATGACGACTACTTCTTGGGAACGATAACTACAGACGACTTCGCTGAACGACAGCGGGCCGACCCGGATTTTAAGGCCCTAATAGACTACCTCGAAGGCAGGACCGCCGAAGTCCCGAAGGTATTCAAGCGCGCACTTGCGTCGTTCTTTCTACGAAACGGTCTTCTACAAAAGAAAACTTTTCACCGCTTCGAGCTAAGTACCTCCTTGTGGTGCCTTCAGCTATGCGACCAGAACTCCTGCAGGCCCTACACGACGATCCGACGGCAGGGCACCTCGGTGTTTCTCGCACGCTCGCGAGGATACAAGAAAGGTACTACTGGCCACGTCTTACCACCGACGTCACTCGTTATGTGAGGACATGCCGGGACTGTCAGCGACGCAAGACACCGCCGACAAGGCCAGCGGGACTTCTGCAGCCAATTGATCCACCTTGTCGACCTTTCCAGCAGATTGGTATGGACCTACTAGGGCCGTTCTCGACGTCGGCTTTCGGAAACAAGTGGATCGTGGTAGCTACCGACTACCTCACCCGCTACGCCTAGACAAAAGCCCTGCTAAAGGGCAGTGCATCCGGGGTAGCTAAGTTCTTCGTCGAAAATATCGTCCTACGTCATGGCGCTCCGGAGGTCCTTATCACCGACAGAGGAACGGCATTCACTGCCGACCTAACTCAAGCAATCTTGGCATACAGCCAAACAAACCACTGCCGGACGACAGCGTACCACCCACAGACCAACGGCCTCACCGAGCGGCTTAACAAGACGATCGCCGACATGCTGTCAATGTACGTCGATGTCGAACACAAGACATGGGACGCCATTCTTCCGTATGTGACCTTCGCATACAACACGGCGGTGCAGGAGACGACGCAGATATCTCCATACAAATTGGTGTACGGAAGGAGCCCGGCAACGACGCTCGATGCCATGTTACCCAACGTCAGCGACGAAGAAAGCCTCGATGTGAGCGAGTACCTTCAACGTGCCGAAGAAGCCCGACAACTTGCGCGTCTCCGTATCAAGAATCAACAGACGATAGACAGCCATCGTTACAACCTTCGACGACGCTTCGTGGAATACCAGCGCGGTGAACGTGTTTGGGTGTGGACGCCGATACGCCGACGTGGACTAAGTGAAAAGCTTCTGCGACGCTACTTCGGACCGTACAGGGTGGTTCGACGTCTCGGGCCACTTGATTACGAGGTTGTCCCCGACGGCATCACGAACTCTCAACGACGCCGATCGCGACCTGAAGTCGTGCATGTCGCGCGCCTCAAGCCGTTCCATGCGCGTTAACAAACTGAAACAGTGTTTTTTTGTATTACTGTTTCATCGTAATTTATTCATTGTACTTTCTTGCCTTATTATTGTACCTTCATCTTTAGTTAAAGCATCGGGACGATGCCTTTTTTCAGAGGGGAGCAATGCCACGTTCCATTTCCCAAGTTTTCGTTATCGTCCCAAAACACCACACGATTCTCAGCGCAAACCGCGCCTGCAGTTTTCCAGAAGGTTCCGGACTGTAGCAGATCATTTCGATAAGATCACGCCCACTGTGCGAACGGTACAGATTGTTCTGGAACCTACGCCACCGCCAGCGATAACGCTAGAACATTCGATGGCAAGCGTATAAATGCCGACGCGCTTCGCCACTTGTCAGTAGTTGTTGATCGAAGGCCGACGCTCTGTTCGCCGCTATCAGTCCGAGACTGCTATCTCTGTGAGACTGCTGCTGTAATTGGACTTTCCTTTTACCGGGCACAGGTTCGCCCAAATAAACAGTTAAATCCCAACACGAAGTCTCCTGTCTTCGACCACGTCACGACCCCGTGACAATATCATGAGTGCCAGATTAATAAAGTAAAGTTTAGGCAGCTGACTCAACATATGGTACAATCACAACACTTTTCTGCACCGTCGGAGATCGCTCACATGGACTTAGGAGAATTTTGTTAAAAAATCCAAAGGTTTTGGCTTGCGAAAGGTTGGTGGCAGCAAAAGCAGAAAAGGCCATACCAACAGTATGATTTCGTTTTAAGATAAAAGATATCTAACAAAAAGTCAATATTAGTGACACAGTGAACCAGATTCACAGAGTCATCAACCCAGTAAATAGGCAAACCAACAGCAAATTGCGCTCATGTTCACTGCTCCATGTCATTCAGCAGTTAATGGGCAAGTGAAGCCAGCTAATTAAGACATATTATAATACTTAAGCATGTGTCCAGACTTCCCATAAGGATGGATCAGCTGCCTTTAAATGACGTAGCTCATCGTGCACAGCCCTAAAAGCATCTCTTGGGTGCACACTTTTTATGCATTTCTTCATACTGCAGCCTCAATGAAGCTACTGCAGGAGTGGGGGAAAAAAGAACAAAAATAAACATTCATGAACGGACTTTTGACTGCTCCTGCAAATAAACATATTTACCAGCCAACGTGACTGTGAGTTGAAATGATGATCAGCCTGACAGAAGTGAGAACTAAAGAGGGTGAAGCTAAGTACAGAAAGAGAGTGAAAAGGAACTTCAACAAAAAACAGAATACAGCTGTGCCGGGAATTGAGGATCGGGACTTGGTGCTAGCGATGAAAGAATTGCGAAACTCAGCAGCGAGTCACAGAGGGGCATTCTTTTTTGTAGAAATGGCGAGCCAGCAGGGACATTTAAAGATTGCCCGATACGTTGTCCTCAATGGCTCCTTCGAATTGGCCTCCACAGCCGACATTCTAAAGGACTAAGACCCCACTTTTCAAAGGTGAGTTTACTCTGCCATGCGAATTTTATGGATACAAAGATGACTCTGAGCAAGTGAGAAGCAGATAAAATCGTGATAAGATATATTATTTCTTATATTAAAGTCAGGTTTTCCGTGGCACGCCAGGTAATCCTAGGGACTTTATGCTGCAATCTGGCAAGTTGTGATGACACCAGGTACCAAAATGGCCACTCAGCGTCACAAAATCTATCAAAATGACTTCTTGTGGGTTGGAAATGGAGTCACAGTGCGTAGCAGCCGAGCGAGTTTCACGATTTCTGGTACAAGCACATGACGAGGAGCTCATATTGTGTTACAATATCAGGGCACTGTAGATATGGAAACTAGCTTTTAAAATGATACTGTAATTACATTTGCAGAGTGTACAGGCACTTCACAGTACATTTTCTAGATCCTTGAAGGTTGGGCCTTTCATTTCATGCAAGAAAATAAAAAGAAATTCCGGTTAGTACCCCTTTATCATCTGGCGAGGTTAGGAAACAAGTGCTGAGGAAGTGAAGCAAGCTTAAGCAGTTGCAAAAGACAAATGATTTTTTGCATAGACAACTAGGAGGACTGAGGTATTAAAGAAGTTAGAAATGATGACAAGAAGAGAGTGTCTCTCTGTATTATGTGCAGTCTTTTTACATACCACCTGTTAGCAAACTGCACAATAGGCCAAGGTTAGTCTGCATTGAAAGAAAAATGTGAAGTAACTTTTGCAAGATCACCAAAATTTCAGTATGTTTTTTCAAACAATACATAACAAATATGTGTCAATAGCATAGCATTGTGCCATTTTGTTAGTTACACCTTTGAGTATAATTATGGTAATAATTTTAGCATAATCTGTGCAAATCAAACATTACCTGTCACCCTGAGGTGTAATGATGTTTTGTTTTTCATGGAGCCAGAACTAGCACTGTTCCAAAGGGCCCAAGGAATTTCCCAGCAAGGTGCTGCAAACAGATTATAAACTGTTCATAAACTGATCATTCACAGCCCTACAGCTAGTGTAGCATTCCCTGTCACGTGCACTCGGCACACAATCATAATTCATTTGCCTTACGCGAACATGCATTCTCTGTAAAAGGGAATGACGAGGAGCGTGCATTTTTTAACACTACGCGCAACTTAGCTGCAGCTGGTTATTCTCTTCATTCACAGGACACTTGTCAAATAATTTACGAGTAAAGAATGCAAGCTCAAACCATTGACAATTCCGGATTGCAGTTTTGATGTGCACACTGCAGTATTTCCCACACTAACTGTAGTGATTTGCAACATGATGCTTACTCTGGGCCCGCGATCGTAAAGATTCACACATGCCTTCGCGAAAGTACAAAGCAGCTCTGCGGTGAAGCATCAAGTAACGCTTGCGTACTTTTCTTATTATTTTTATAGCTTTCGACGAGCACTCAAAGCTGTGGGTTGCAGTTTAATTTTCTTTTTGTTGTGGTTTAATTTATTTCGCTGTAGTCTATGCGCACTAAATGCACTGCGCAACAGCAACAATAGTCGTGCTCGCGTTGGGTAGCGTAGTAACCGAAGCTGGGCCTGCCCGAGCATCGTTTGCTAACTTGAGCGCACCGAAAGTCTCGTAAACAAGCATTTTATGGCTCTGTTCGGAACTGCAAAAGAACTTACTGAGACCAACATCTCGATGTCTTCTTAATCTTTACTGGATACGATGGTCCACTTCTGCGTGTCTCCTGCAGTTGTTGAAAGCGGACCAACACGGCCGACGGCAGTGATGTGCAGCTTCGGTAGAGGCACGCTCACAGCGTTTCTCGGTACACTTGAAGTTTCTATGCATCCCTTAAAATGTTCGGGAGGCGTTTTTCACCATCAAGATCGCCTCAGCAAACACAGCGCGCTTATTTAGCCTGGCAGCTGCCTGCAGCATCGTTAGAGTGTACTACAGGTTTTCCCGCTCAATTTATTTCAAGCGCCAGTCAAATTGATCTAGGCGCCAGCCAATTTAATCCAGCCGCCACTGAAATTAATCCAGGTGCCATTCATTTTAATCCAAGTGCCACTGAAATTAATCTAACCGCCAACCGATTTATTGCGGACGCCAGTGAATTTGTACCTGATGACATTGTGACTTCAAAACGACCCAGAATTTTCGGGAATGCGTGGAGTGAATAGCTTTGGAGTGAATTTAACAGGGAAAAGCCATGAATGAGTCACTAGTGACACAATGTGACTCACGTGACTTTATCACGCCTATCATCCGCGTAAGCACTATTCACACCTTTGATATGCATATCAAAGGCAACGCCGTCCACACAGTAATAACATGATACTTATTAACCAGGCCAATGATCTCATCACGAGTGACTTAGGTGACGTCCTCACGCATATCACCCACGCACATACTGTCTCAACCTTCCGTCATGCATATGAAATGAAACGTCTTTGAAAGGGCGGGATCTTGATACCTAGAACTCGGCCAAGTCACCGGATCACCAGTGACTCAGGGGACGTCATCAGTATCACCAGCGCACGTTATTTACTCGCCTGCCGGCATGCATGCCAAACGAAACGTCTTTGAGAGAGCAATAACGTGGTACCTATGACTCGGCCAACTGACTTGATCACTTGTGATTTAGGTGACGTCTTCACGCCTATCACCCACGCACGCAATGTCTAACCTGCCATCATGTATACCAAACGAAACGTCTTCGAGAGGCTAATAAATTGAACGCTGTCAATCGGCCTAGTGACGTGATCACTAGTGACTCGCGTGACGTCATCGCGTCTGACACCCACGCACGCAGTGTCTAACGTGAGTTCATATAGATATCAAACGAAACGTCTTTGAGAGTGTAATAACTTGAATGCTGTCACAAGGCCCAGTGACGTCATCACTAGTGACTGGCGTGACGTCATCTCGCCTAAGACTCAGGCAAGCACTCTCTAATGTGCCTTCATGCATATCAAACAAAACGTCTTTGAAAGAGTAATAACTTGAATGCTGGCACTAGGCCGAGTGACGTCATCACTAGTGACTAACGTGACGTCATCACGCCTATCACACGCACACGCAGTGTCTAAACCTGTCTTCATACATATCAAACGAAACGTCTTTGAGAGAGTAATAACTTGAACGCTGTCACTAGGCCCAGTGAAGTCATCACTAGTGACTCGCGTGGCGTCATCCCACCTAAAAATCATGCAAGCACTCTCTAATTTGCCTTCATGCATATCAAACAAAACGTCTTTGAAAGAGTAATAACTTGAACGATGTTACTAGGCCTAGTGACATCATCACTAGTGACTCACGTGACGTCATTACGCCTATCACACACGCACGTGGTGTCCTAACCTGTTTTCATGCATGTCAAACAAAACGTCTTTGAGAGAGTAATAACTTGAACGCTGTCATTAGGCTTAGTGACTCACGTGACGTCATCACGCCTATCACACACGCACGTGGTGTCCTAACCTGTCTTCATGCATATCAAACGAAACGTCTTTGAGAAAGTAATAACTTGAACGCTGTCACTAGCCCTGGTGACGTCATCACTAGTGACTCAAGTGACGTCATCATGCCTATCACACACGCACGCGGTGTCCTAACCTGTCTTCATAAATATCAAACGAAACGTCTGTGAGAGTGTAATAACTCGAACGCTGTCACTTGGCCTAGTGATGTGATCACTAGTGACTCAAGTGACGTCATCACGCCTATCACACACGCACGCGGTGTCCTAACCTGTCTTCATAAATATCAAACGAAACGTCTTTGAGAGTGTAGTAACTCGAACGCTGTCACTTGGCCTAGTGACGTGATCACTAGTGACTCGCGTGACGCCATCACGCCTGACACCCACGCAAGCACTCTGTAACCTGCCTTCATGTATATCAAACGAAACGTCTTTGAAAGAGTAATAACTTGAATGCTCTCACTAGGCCTAGCGACGTGATTACTAGTGACTCATGTGACGTCATCACGTCTATCACACACGCACGCGCTGTCCTAACCTGTCTTCATGCATATCGAACGAAACGTCTGTGAGAGAGCAATAATGTTATACTTATGAGTCAGCCAACCGACTTGATCACTAGTGACTTACGTGACGTCATCACGACTAACAGTCATGCAAGCACTCTTTAACGTGCTTTCATGAATATCAAACGAAACGTCATTGAGAGAACATTAACTTGAAGGCCGTTGCAGGCAGCGTCTGCTAGTAAAAAACTGACTTCTCGCGCTGCACAGCCGGTCACCAGCTAACCGGCACCAGATCGCACGTTTTGAATTCAGTCAAAGGCGTCTTTACATGGCTTTTGTTTGACTTGACGCTTTTCTTGACTCGAGTAGATGCGATGGAAGCAACAGTACCTTCAAGCAGCAGTGGGGTACAACCGAACATCAGCGTCCCACCACTCATTGAGGGCAACGCTTCTCCTTCATTCAATAATAAGGAATAATCAAGGCGAAATGACAATTAAGAATTTTCCAAACCATACTCAATTACGCAACATTCAACCGATACCCTGACCTCTCTGCGACGCATTTACTCCAGCTCGTCGTGTGGGTAGATGTAGGCGTCTTTTTTGTTGCTTCTCGTGTTTCGTAGAATGCCTTGAAAAAGCGGGAAGCCAGGCCGCAATACTGTGAACGGACAGACGTTCTACACTTAACAGGCACGCTTGTTCCAAGCACACTAACCTATAAGAAGCGGCGTGGCGTAGAATGTGGAAAGCAAGGCACGAGTCAGGCAGAGCATTGAACGGCGCATCAGCAAATGGTCATTTGCAAATAGCAATAGTATGTATCTCAAGTATGGGGACTGTCCTCTATTACAACGGATTCGTTTCACAGGATAACCAGATGAAATAATCGTTGAGCCGAAGAAGTGGTAGACAAATCTTTTTGTAGAAAGCTTTGGAGCAGGCAGACCGTGCGTCTTATGCTTGATTACGGATATACAGTGTTATGACTATAGCTGGATTATATGCAAATGCCTGTTTCGTTTCTTGTGCTCCTATCGTGTCATTTTGACACATGAGCACAAATTAGAGGGCAAGGAGAGCTTTTATAGTGCTTTTATAGTGCCTATATATGCCTATTTCGGACGTTGTAGCCTCAATTCGTATAGGTGCCTGTAAATGTCTGTTTTCAAAACCGATGCCTATATAAACGCTATTTAACCTGAAATTTTGCTTTCAAGTACCACTGGAACCCGGTATTCATGTTACCCGGCAAAATATAGATTTCGGGACACTGTGGGGTGCAAACTACTACTCTTTATTTCACGAGTTACGTTTAGAACTGTCAAACCCAAAAGGCATTTTAGCCAAGAGGAAGGTAGATTAGCCTCTACACATGTATACCATGCATGTCGCGTCGTCTGCTCAGCCTATTTCCAGTGTCCGCTCAGATGCGTAAGGAGTAGGAGGTGCCTTTGTGCAGCGGCAGGAAGATGAAGAATGAATGCGAAACTGTGGAGAGTCATCAGGGGAAGTAAGGAAGTAAAGTGCAGATAAAAAAAGCAATATCTATGTAGTTTTTGTTTTTTGTTTGTCATTTACATGTGGTGCTTTACTGGGTCACCTGAAAATATTTATTTAGGCAGTGGAAAATGTTGCCTGCCCAATGAAAAGGTTTGTATCACTAGAAATTTTAATTTGATTATTAGAAGCTGCGAAAGCATAATCTCAGGAGGTGAGCTTGAAACCTTCACCACTAACTCTAAGTAGACTTCGTAAGTCCTATTCCTTCCCCGCTATTAGTATCAAATTCACTCGGAGCTGGAGCATCAGACGACGTGCATGAGCACGTCATGCGCGCGTAAACTACACTCGCGTGAGATGCCCATGTCAGCCCGTGCTTGCAAGCGGTGTTCTGCCATCTCGATAGCAGAACACCGCTGGCGTCGGCGTCGACCAATCTTCCCGGGCGGATGGTTGGCAGGTGTTCCGCGTACGTGTTGG